ACACCCCCACACCCTGTAGAACACAGAGGTGGAGTTGCGAGGCGAAGCAAGCTCATATATAGAGTTGTTGGAAGAGAGCTTCGGCCGAGCCCACACCCTGTAGAACACAGAGGTGGATTAGGTGAAGCAAAGCTCATATATTGATCGGACTCTAGACACTTGGCTAAGGAAGTCCCAGGCGCCTCAGCGAAGAGCTAGAGCCTCACCAGTTGAGAGGGACATCAGCGGCGGAGAAGGAAGGCTTAGCCGAGCCCACACCCTGTAGAACACAGAGGTGGATTAAGCGAAGCAAAGCTCATATATTGATCGGACTCTGACTTCGATACTTTCGCGAAGGTCGCGAAGGCTAAGTGGCTCAAGTCTACTTCACCCAGAAGATCTAGAAGCGTTGCCGAGATCTTAGCGAAATCCCAGCGTTAGCCGAGGAAGTCTCCTCAAGGTCTCCATATACTAGCCCTTTCGTCATATATAGCCACTTCGTCAGTCCGTTCAAGACATCGCATGAGTTGTCTATCAACTGTAAGCCATATGCGTCTACAAGCCTCTGCGCGAAGACAATTGCACAGGCTATTTACAACACAGAGCGTCGCTGTATTAATTTATCAACAGATGAAGAGCCTAATTAAGGATCTTCAAGCCGACTACCTACTACGATACGATTATCTACATGCGTGACCATTACGCGCAGATCTGCAGACAATTCAATAGCGAAATTGAACAGCAGCCTTGTTACAACGAGTAAAACTCATAATCGTCAATGATTTCCTGAGAAGAAATATGTACAACAAGTTCAGCTTTAACAGTCTACAAGCTGACAACTTGCAAGGTTTATTGAACCTTATATAAGGAAGTCGAATTATCTTCAAGACTGAAGTTACTTTCACGACAGCCTGGAAAATAACCTACCCAGCATTAATATTACAGAAGCCGAGGTATTTGGCGGAGGTTTCGTAGCGTTTACCATCAACCCTCGAAACACGTGGTCACTCGGGTAACCGGGAAGCTACGGTGAAGACCGGCGATTGTTCTAATATCAGCGGCGGCACTATATTATACAAGGTTCCTTTTCCTGCTACACGGTGACATCACAGGCGGGTACTCTACAGAATCAAAATGCCTTGTTCTGATTGGACCGAGATGGACAAGCGCCCTCGCATGAGAGGTCGATCATAGTTCACAGTTCAACACATAGGTTGCAAGTGACAACAATATATCAGTGAGCGAGCAAGCCTCCTTACAGTCCAGCTAATCTGAACCTTCATGATTGGGCTGCCTTCTTGAGTTAGAGACCTCCCCTGTCAAGTAAGGGCGAGGCACGGCAGTCAGGCGATTTTTACATAAAAGTTCAACGATGGCAGTCACCCTGGTTGTGCACCTACATCGTCAAAACGCCATGGCGAATTTACCTCGACGACGGGATACAAATGGATCCAAATCCATAGCGTCTCAGACTACAGTTGAATTCATCATCAAGCTACTAACACAACTAGATGGTTAGTAAACCTACTAAGTTGGACCTAGAACCTTCGCAAGATCTGCTAATTCTAGGTTTTTGATTTGTAACGGCGCAGAATCGTATAATTGTACCGGAGAACCATGGATCAAGATCCAACAGTCATTTCCACAAGCCTTACTATCTCCGCTACCACTACGACAGTGACAGAGTCTGTTGGGGTTACGCACTTCAGCTCAGCTCAAGACATGACAGGCAGAGGCAGACTACAATTACATCCGTTACAAGTCATCATCAATTCGCATCTAGACGAATCTCTACCGTTCAATTCACCGGTTCAGGTCAAACCTCATCTACTATGGTGGACCAAGAGATCAATGTTTGAATAGGCGTCTCGTTAATAGAGCTGGAATCGATAACACTTCTCTACGTAGATGTGTCACTATAAGGTTGGGGAGCCCATCTTGCCAACAGGACGGCATCAGGGCTATGAGCAATCAAGAGAACAAATTACACATAAATCTGCTAGAGATGCAAGCAGTAATAAGCGCTTAATGCACTGGAGCAACTTACTACAGTATACCCAGTGGATGATTCACACAGTCAATTCGACAGTGGCGTTTTATGTGAACAAACTAAGCTCAACCAGGTCCCCGAACATATCGACTCTGTTTTCAATTGTTCGATTTAATCGACAATCTCAACATACATGTCAGAGCATATCACATTCCAGGAGCAAAGAATGTGATAGCAGACGCTCTCTCTCGGCCACACATACCATCGCCGACAGAATGAATGCTCCATACAGAGATATTCACTCAAATTATCAAGGAAATAGGAACTACACTAATAGACCTATTTACCACTCGATTCAACAAACAACTGACAACATTCGTATCGCCAGTTCCAGACCCACTAGCATTGGCAACACAGGCACTAAGCATATCGTGGGAAGGACTCAGCGTGCAGCTTTTCGCCACCAGCGTTAATCTCACAAGTTTACTCAAAATCAGTCAAAAGCAGAGCCTCCATCTGAATTTGGTCACGGCCTACTGACCAGCGAGAACGTGGTTTCCAACTCTTATTCAAGAAATCGGACAACCAATACTACATCTTACAGAGTGCTCGAATCTGTTAATACATCCGCACACCAAACAAGAGCACGGAAAGCCAGATATATTCCAACTTCACGTTTGGATTGTATCAAGGCGTGTCTGAATAACAAGTTATTCAGCCAGAGCGGCAAAGCAGTCTAGCTTGCCCTGCGTAACTCAACTGGCAACTTATACGATGACAAATGGCACAGTTTGTCAATTATGCTGCAAAGGAAGGATTTACAGCTAGATATGCTACTCATCCTCAAGTGGCGGACTACTTATGTTATCTACGTCAGACTAAGATTTTATAAGGCTCAACTTGTCCACCTATCTTGCAGCAATAGCTCTATCATAACTGAGAACGAGCGTCAAGTTAACCTAACCCAGTTACTCGCCTTGCTACGAGCTTTCCGATTGGAGGATTCAAACGGAAGTTTCACGCTCCAACTTGGGATCTGAATATAGTGCTCCAACACCTCACAAGTGAGGTTTATGAACACGCTTTGATGATATACTTGGACCCCATGATACGATGAATCTATCACGATGGCCAGTAAGAGCACTGAAAATATATCTCCACCGAGCCAAACAGGAGGGAAAAATGCAAGAGATTTATTTCCTCTATCAAGCTACGCAGACGGAAGTCTCACGTACTACTATCTCCTTTTGGATCAGAACTGTCATACTACGTGCCTACAAGACTGCAGGATCGACCCTCCATGAGCTTCTAATCCTCATGATATTAGAGCGCGCTAACATCTACATTGCTCTACACAAATGCTATTGAAATAATGGAGGGTTATTTCTGGAGATCCGATATGGTGTTTGCCAACCACTATCTGAGAGATATCACCACCGAGGACGTCTCAGGTATCCACCAATTCGGTCCCATGGTCCTCGCACAACAGTTGACAGTTCCTCGGAGAAGATAAGTCAATCTTACAGATTTTTACTTATCTTATAACAGTACTAAATAGCTACATGCTATATATATTTTGCTTAAGTTCTTTTATTATCTTAAGCTCAGTACTATGGTTATTATATCATACAATATATAAGCTAACAACTCTACGGAGTTTGTTATTATATATTTAGCTTAAGTTAATCATATCTTAAGCTCAGTACTATGGTTACATTATAAATGTATTAGCTAACAAACTCTACAGAGTTTTTGCTATTATATATGTAGCTTAAGTTCATTATATATTAAACACAGTACTATACTCATATCATAAAAATATATTAGCTAACAAACTCTACGGAGTTTTTGCTATTATATATGTAGCTTAAGTTTATTCATATCTTAAGCTCAGTACTATGTTTATATCATATAAGTATATTAGCTAACAAACTCTAAAGAGTTTTTTGCTATTATATATTTAGCTTAAGTTTCATCATATCTTAAGCATTATGGTTACATTATAAAATATATTAGCTAACAAACTCTACGAAGTTTTGCTATTATATATATAGCTTCAGTTTATTCATATCTTAAGCTTAGTACTATGTTTACTTCATAAAAAAGTATATTAGCTGATAAACTCTAAGGAGTTTTTGCTATTATATATTTAGCTTAAGTTTAATCATATCTTAAGCTCAGTACTATGTTTATATCATAAAAGTATTTTAGCTAACAAACTCTAAGGAGTTTATGCTATCATATTAACAAGCTTAAGTCTATTAGTCTTAAGCATTGTATTAATATTATATATACTTTTATCATAATAAGTAAATTGTAATAACCTTTATATGGCAGCTGATAAGTTACAGCAGGAATTCTTCAGTTCAGTGCCTTTATGAAGTTCCCATAGGGTTATTACAATCATCTCAGTTCAAATCACTAATTAGTAAAATCCAAAGTATATATAATCCCACCTCCTATCCGTAGGATTCTACAAGCAATAAGCATGAGTCAGGATAAGGAAAAATATGAAATTTTTAGAGTAAAATTAATATTTTTATACTTATCCTGACTCATGAGGTAAGCCCTCCCGTCCTCCCCACTTAACACTTTGGATTTCCCTGAAAATTCAAATGTTGGGCTCAGTATATGAGGAGAGAGTGAGGCACATGGGTGGAGGTGGCGCCCTCGTTCCCGAGCTTGTGGAAGGGAGGTAACTCGTGGTGGGTACTAATGAGTGATTTTTTATTGAAGGGAACTTCAATTGGGAGATACAAGTGTTCCACTAGGTTCGCAAGAAGAAGAAGACAAGCAATAAGCATGAGTCAGGATAAGTATAAAAATATTAATTTTACTCTAAAAATTTCATTTTTATGACCAATAAGTGCTCACAACACAGGCAAATTAGCACCATCTCGTTTTCTTTTATTCAATGTTACAAATGGAATAAATTTGAAACTGTTTTGACTTTTTGGCCACTTTAACTTAGGGGTATGTGAGTAGAACATATAAAACATGTTGGTGTACAGTTTGAGGTTCATGTTCGTAGCCTGGAGAAAGAGAGCAGCTTCCATCTGTTCCTGTCTTTGACGGCCACTCAGATCTCCCGCCTCATGAAGTCAGGAGCAGTGCAGGAATGGCGACAGATGAAGGGGAGGTAACTGGAGGTTCTTAGTTCAGATAGGCAGACGTTAGGGACCGTTCATAATTTATGGCTTGGGGATAGGGGTGGGGAGTGGTTTTGGTGGGTTGATGATGAGTTTAGGGGTTGGGGTGGGGGAGCACCCCATTTTGCTCCGGGGAAGGTAGGGGGTCATCAGTTTTGTACACATGTTGGGGATGTCATTGATTTTGTACATGACATGCAGAGAGAGGAGGTGGGGGATGGGGGTTGACTTACTTTGTACATAAATTGGGGTGGTGGTGGTGTCACATTTTACATGCTTCTCCATAAAATCTCATCTCTCGCACGCACACACACACACACACACACACACACACACACACGCCTTTATGCCAGATTATACACAGAAAATGTCACAGTTCCTCTCTCTGAGTAGTTTACCCTTTACCAGTCTGTATAGAAGATGATCAAAAGACATTCTTATATTTTCCAGACTGCTGTTCATCAGCAAGAGCACCAATCTTTTCCTTAATGGCATAAGTTAGGGAATCCTGGGTTTTACAGGATCACTGGTGTTGATCCATGTCATTATATATATCCCAACTGCCGTCACTGCTCATGTTTTCATCACTGGACACCTGGTCCAGACAAGATTCTTCATAAACTGACATTATATAGCCACAGCTTTGTTGAGGGGAACATTAAGCAACATACAAGCATACAAAGTTGCCAAGTTTGTGCATGATAAAATGTCTTTCACTGCCACTGTCTGATAACACATGTAACAACATTCAACATTGTGGGATAGAAGCTTCAGAATCTTGCTGTTTCTGCATTGATCATATCTTAAGATAGTCATTATTTCTCTTGGTTAACAAGGCTGTGGATAATCTAGTGGTTAAAACACTGGCAAGATCAAAGTTCATGCTCATTCTTGGTGTCCTCTTTGTGGATATGCTGTTATAAACGAGTGTAAAAGCCAACTCACACTGAGTTAAATTCTTTCTCTAAGATTCTGCTCCAAGTTCCACCAGCGGCGGCGGATGCAGGAGCTGTCGGAGATGGGTCTGTACAACTTCACCTGCCTCTTCCTCACCCTGGCCAGTGTCACAGAACTGGAGGACATGGTAACTCCTGCAGATTGTAGCCATTGTCTCGTTTTAATATTTTTACCTCATCTGACGGAAAGTCAAGTCAGTATTGTCTATCTGATGTCTTCTGTCATGAATATCTCCTTAGACACTGTTGGAACAGTGAAGTTGAACCTTCACATGCATGTTCCCACAATCATGACACAATCTGATATTCAATATGGCTGACACTGCCATCACTAATTGATGTTTAGTTAGTGCTGTGATTCAACACAAATGTTCTGATTTTAGCAAAATTTAGATATTTGGGTAGGGATTCAACTTTTTTGTTTTGACCAGAAAGTTTATTCTCTCAAAATGCCCAATTGGCTGTGGAAACCAGGAACTGTTTGCATACCAACACTACAGCAACTTTGTTGATCTTCTTACTGTTGAGTACATATCTAAGTGAGTCCTTGTGCCATGGGCCTATTATTTGATTGCTTATTACTAATATGGTCCTGTGTGGTCCTGTGTGGTCCTGTGCGGTCCTGTGCATACAGCCCAGGTCACAAATCAGTTGAAGTCAAGCTGGTCGCGGACAGTCCCTGGATGAGTGACTGTGTTTGGCAACTTGACTCCTGAGAGTTTCTAGGACTTCAGTCCTGCCCAACAACGAAGCACATGTGATACATGTGGTCTCACCTTAGGCAAGTGAGTTTGTCCAAAATTGCCTCTATTCACCCAGTAGTGAATATGTACCCAGTGGGATAAGTCATGTGATTGTTAACCTTCGAGCGGCTCACAGACAGCTTGGGTTATCCGGGGATAATAATGAGTCAGTGCTTTGAGCATGCACACGTGCAGGGAAACAGGCGCTTTATAAATAGCCATTATTTTATTATATTGAGCAATGTGTATAGCCATGCACTTTAATACTGTTATGTTGTATCTGTCAGGGCAAGAAGCTGTGTGACTTCTACAGTATGTTGGACCCCAGCAACACGTCCCCAAACCGCCGCATCATCACATGGATGGGCGGACTGGCACTGTGTCAGATCTGTGGGGAGAGAAACACAGACATGGCATTTGTGGCAGAAAAACTGTCGCCATCCTTCAACTCAGTTTGCCGGTGGGTTGAATTTCTGTGTTCTTGATTCATTCATTTTTAGCAATGACAGGTCAGCTATATAGGGATGCTGATGAAATAATCTGTGCGAAACATAATATCAAGTGTTGTTTGTCAAGTTTTCCTAACAGCATCGCTGTACTGCTGAAACTATGCTGATGTAACATTAAGTTATAAACAAGTGTTTGCCACTGATGTGGCAATGTCCCCCGTCGCTAAAGAATGGAATATCTATATTTACTACTTTTTATTTTTGGGTCACATACAAGATGCCTGAAATGACTGGTGTCTGCATAATCACCCAATGTAGGCTGTCAACATACTTGAAAACATTGGGTGCAATGTTTTATGAGATATCGCCTTTAAAAAGCGGTCAAAGTATCATGGTGACCTTGAAAATAAGGTCAAGGTCACCCAAATAAACTGGTGTCTGTGTAATACCCCAATGTAAACTGTCACCAAATTTGATGACATTGGGTACAACAGTCCATGAGATATCGCGTTAACAAGAGTTGAAAGTGTGAAAAGTTTCGTGGTGACCTTGAAAATAAGGTCAAGGTCACCCAAAATCAACTGGTGTCTGCGTAATCCCCCAATGTAGGCTGTCACCAAATTTGAAGACATTGGGTACAACAGTCGATGAGATGCCGTGTTAAGAAGAGTTTATAAAGTGTTCAAAGTGTCGTGGTGACCTTGAAAATAAGGTCAAGGTCACCTAAATACAGTGGTGTCTGCGTAATCCCCTAATGTAGGCTGTCACCAAATTTGAAGACACTGGGTACAACAGTGCATGAGATATCACGTTAACAACAGTTTGAAAAGTGGTCAAAGTGTCGTGGTGACCTTGAAAATAAGGTCAAGGTCACCCAAATCGACTGGTGTCTGCGTAATCACCCAATGTAGGCTGTCACCAAATTTGAAGACATTGGGTACAACATTTCATGAGATATCGCGTTAACAAGAGTTTGAAAAGTGGTCAAAGTGTCGTGGTGACCTTGAAAATAAGGTTAAGGTCACCCAAATCGACTGGTGTCTGCATAATCCCCCAATGTAGGCTGTCACCAAATTTGAAGACATTGGGTGTAACAGTTCATGAGATATCGCGTTAACAAGAGTTTGAAAAGTGGTCAAAGTGTCGTGGTGACCTTGAAAATAAGGTCAAGGTCACCCAAATCGACTGGTGTCTGCATAATCCCCCAATGTAGGCTGTTACCAAATTTGAAGACATTGGGTGCAACAGTTCATGAGATATCGCGTTAACAAGAATCGGGACGCTGAATACATAGTCCCCCGTTCCGCGTTGCTGCGGGGGACAATAACTCATTTAACAGCACTTAATTTACTAACACTTCAATCATTTGCTGCAGCACTTATTTTACCAGTGCTTCAATCATTTGCTGCTGCTAACAGTCACTGTATTTGCAACAATCTCTTCTGTCACAGTAGACTTGCTTTTTAGTGCTATTTGATAGGTGCCACCAATGGTTCAGGATGCCCTCAACTGTTATTAACAAAAATAAACAAAACTTACTGTTGCCTGTGGAAAAGGTTCTGTCATATTTATTGTGTTAGATCAAGTTTGGGAAAGTTAATGTTACAGTGTAAACCAACAGCCCATCACTCACACCCTGACAAACTGCTCCATGTCAACAGGATAACATTATCGAACTCTTTTAGACTTTGTGATGATGCAATGCAGAACAGTTTATTTAATTCAAAATATATATGAGAACTTTGCACCAAATCCTGTAAATCTTCTTATATTTGTGTGTCGGGTTTCAGGGAGTTCTCAGACCCTGGGCTCGACCCACAGTGTCGCCATGCTCTGTGGCGGATGGTCAGTTTGTACCTGGAGGGCTTGCAGGACGTCTTTGAGGTCAGCACCTCACTTACAGCTTCAGAGCACAGATTACTGGGTATGTTCACGACATTGAGAGTGCACTGCTGTGAGGCAGATCTGCTGACAGAACATGTTTATGTTAGACTGACCGAATATTAACCAATATTTTGGTTAATTGTCCTGCTTCTTGGTGAAAAGTTGGATGTCTGGTTAATATAAGTTGTTCTCTGGTCTCGAGGGGCCTATGGGCTGATGTACCCTCGATGTTTGTTTATGTTCCCTGAGCCTGAAGGGAGAGGGGAACATAAAGAAACATCGAGGTACATCAACTCATGGGCCCCGAGGGACTAGTGAACAACGTATTTATCTTACCAAATACCTGAATGGTAATTTTGAACTGTTTGAAGCACAGTTATCGGATCATAGCATGGAGTACCAGACGACCAGAAAAACAAATTTAGAGTTATCTCCCTTCCATTGATTTGCATTCGCAAAATATTGGTAATTTCCGTACATCATACTTGATTCAATGTTATTCGAGATAAAGAATTACTACTACGAAGTACCAAATGAGTTCGGCTTTCCCAGCGGGGTACATAGAAAATGTTACTCGCTTGTAAGCGGGGTACATTGAAAATAACAGAAGAGCGCGCTCAGCCAATCAGAAAACGACATTTATATGTGAGGCACGATAATTATCAATATTTCATCTTCAGGAGAAGATCTGAGTCTGGTGTTCAGGGTTTGCCGAGATGGGGAGCTCAGATTTGTCCTCAACTCTCTTCACATGATGGTCAGCAAGTTCAGGTAACATCTGCTTTACTCTTAACTCTCAATACATGATCATCAGCAAGTTATGTATAGATAATTTCAGGATATTGACTAAATGAGAGATCAGTTTGAGTATTGTTGCATTTGTTACAAACATTTTTCCAGGAGTGTGTTGCAGCCCGACACCAACTCGGATGTAGCTGTGCCACATCGACTCAGGGAGGATCAACACCAAGGTTGTACATGCAGATTCTGGGTTAATGATCAATCAACATCCACTAAGAATCCAAATAGTCTTTAGTCAAATGTGTAGTCCTTAGCAAATGTTGAGTAGTATGTCATGTTACAGTTGATGTATATAGCTTTCCTCCCTCATCAAGCTGACATGCTGTGATATTACAGTATACTGTTCTTAGCCATGTGTAGCCTACTTAAGGCCACTTCTGATGTCAAACAGAAATAAGAGTCCGATAAAAATACTGTATGGAAAGACGCACTGTTTCAAGAAGAAGTTGTCAACAAAAGTTACAATAAATCATCTTAATGTTTTCATAAAGACACAATTTGTGCAACCAGGGAAGTCTTTTCTGAAACATTCCTTGACTAATTCCTAGAATTATTACTTGGTTAATTTATGATATATATCCTTGAGATGTTACTTTAAGTATTTCTTTAAGTGTAGCCCAAAGTGTCCCCTAAAGTATTCTTCGAAGTATTCACAAAGTATTAACTGAAGTATTCACAAAGTATTAACTGAAGTATTGCCACATATATTCTTCAAATTATTACTTGATGTATTCTGTGAAGTAATACTGAATGTGTTCCCTGAAGTTTTCCTTCTACTGACAGCCATCTCTTCCTATCTGTGGCTGTACGTCTACCCTGCTGTCAGGGACCACTCCTCCACACTGACCCCACCCCTCAGCCTGGCTGATCTCGCCGCCAACCTCGCCGTCATGGCCAGACACCAGTAAGATGCTTTGTGTTTATTCTACAGTTGCTATGGCTACAGTAACTATCTTGATTAACGTTTCAGAAATTAGGATTATCATTACAGAGTTCTTTCCCTTTGAGTCCTTTAAAGCAATTGTCATACTGTCAATGATACAGTTCTTGGTGAGTGAAAGGTACATTGTGTCTGATGATTGTGTATATGAACTCATCTATCCCAATCAGGATTTCATTTCAGACAAGGTCTGTGTACCCAATACTTGTCAAAAGAGCTGACTAGAATGAGTATCTGTTGGCCACAATGTCCTGGATGTCATCATTCCCCACTGATCGTCTCTCTCCTAGGAATATTTACTGACT